TATATACAAAACCAATGGCCAACGTTATTCTCTGTAGAGAAAGCTTGAAAGCATTTCCCTTATGAATGGGCACCAGACAAGTATGCCATTTATCACCACTGTTTTTCAACACTGTATTGGAAGTCCTGGCCAGAGCAATAAGGCAAGAAACATTTGCCAATCCTGTGATCCTATACACAGAAAATCCTAATGACTCACTGAAAGTTTCAGCAAAGTGGCAGGGTACAAGATCAACATACTAAAATCAGCCAGATTCATTTACACTTAAGAACTCTCAAAAGGAAATTAGGAAAACAATACCATTTACAATAATCACGCAAAAGGTGAAGTACTTAAAAAATTTAACCAGAAATGCAAAAGACTTATACGAAGAAAAGTACAAAACACTACTAAAATGAACCAAAAGAGACCTACATAAATGTACCCTCAGTACTCTCCCTCCTGTCTTAGGGTTCTGTATTTTGCTATAACATCTCATAGAACTCACAAACTGCCAAGGAAATGGCTCATGTGGAATTGGAGGGTGGGCGCCTGACAAGTCCTAAGTCCGTGGGTAGGTATGGAGGATTCTCCTTACTCTTGTGGTTGCAGGGTCTGGCGAACCAAAATCTGTGTCAGGTGACTGCTGTCTCAAGTCCAGGGGTGAGATGACGACGAACCAAACACAGGAATGGAGCAAGAGAGAGAACTTTCCCAGAACATTTACATATATACCTTCAAGGAAACGAAGGGTGACTTGAGTCACATCTTCTAGCCAGGCAGGATACATCAAGATACACCCCACTCTAAATAGGCATATAGACTAGGATTTACAATACATCACAAAACAGTGGGCTATGGCTAGAAGGGCCTCATTAAGTGATTCACTGCACTGCACTACCTGATCTCAAAGCCTACTACACACAGTAGTTAAAACAGGCTGGTAATTGTATGACAAAAACATAGATCAACAGAACAGAATTAAGAACCCAGATGTAAATCTATCCACCTATGGACAGCTAATCTTTGACAAAGTGTTGAGATTCATTACATGGAGAAGAGGTAGTCTCTTTAATAAATAATGCTGGCAAAACTGGATGTCCATTTGCAGAAAAATAAAACAGGACCCATATCTCACACCATATATAAAAACAAACTCAATTTGGATCAAAGACCTGAATGTAAAACCTAACACTATAAAGACCATTAAAGGAAAAAAGGGACAAACTTATGGGCTACAATACATGGCAATAAATACACTATTAAACATAACTAAAAATGCACAAACACCAGAAGACCAAACAGATGACTGGGACCACCTAAAATATCAGACATGCACACCAAAAGATTTCACCAAGAGTAAAAAAAAAACCACAGACTGGGAAAAAATGTTTTGCAGTGATCGATCAGACAATGGGCTAACCTCTACAATTTATAGAAAACTTCACCACCTCAACAAAAATGACAAATAATCTGATTAAAAATGGGCAGAAGACAAAAACAGACACTTCACTAAAGTGGCTAACAGAAGAAGAAATACTCAGCAACATTAGCAAATGATGTACAACAAAATAATGAGGTATCACCTCACCCCAGCACTAAAAGCAAAGTTTAAAAAAAAAAAAAAAA